GGGTTGAAAAACCTCCAGGACAGCTTTGTTGAGCCACAGTGTCACTGCTGTCAATGAAGAGGACACCTACCACTTGTCCAGGGCTTTCTTGACCCTGTCCTAAATTGCCTGAGCCCACACTGTCTCCTGGCTCTGTTCCTGGGTGCTACCACAGCTTTCTGAGATGGGGATAGAGGTGCAGAGCAGCCTAGTGACCTGCCCATTGTCCTGCAAGGGGAGGTGGTGAAATTTGGACTCCAGCCAAGGTGGGGGACAGTAGGGCACAGGGCTGAGGCCCTGAGCATCAACATCTGAGCTATAGAAGAGGGACACATGGTCCCTACTTCGTGGGTGCAGCATGTACCACAGGATGTGGAGTGACGCCCACTCAGGCCATTCTTTCGTCTGGTTTCTTTCTCCCTGGTCAGCTCCTGCCAACTTGGCCCTACCCTTAGTCACCCACAAAGCTGGCAGCTGAGCTGGCCTGGCTGAGCCCAGAGCTGGAGCCACTCTCCTGCCCAAGGTCAGGCTCGGTCCTGGCTGCAGCAGGACAGAGCTTCCTCCAGGAAACATCAGTCCCCAAGAGAAACCTGGCCATGGGATGTGGGGCCTGAGAGGTGACCCCAATCATTGCACGCTAACAGGTGGTGTCTAGTTCCTTGTCATTGCCAGCCCTTCCACAGCTCCCAAATAAAACCAGCACCAACTGTGCTGCCCTAAGTCTCCTCTCCTCCCAGGGCGGCAGCCACACAGCATGGCCAGAGACATGGAGCCACCTCTGGGCTCCCCTCTGTGATATGGGACAATGGCCCCAGTCCCTGCTCACCCAACACTCCATTGAGATAAAAGATGAATGGAGAGTCAGTGAACCCTGACAGTCATTTTGTAAAGATACAGACCCTCTATTATAACCACGTGACTCGTAATCGCAAATGCTTAATACAGCATCGGAATGGATGCTATTGGTTTATATGGATGCTAAGCACCTTATAAGGTACCTAGAACAATTCCTGACCCTCACAAAAGGATATTTAATGCTACTGTAGTCATGCATCGCACGATGACGTTGTGGTCAATGATCGACCACATGTGTGATGATGAGTCTGTAAGATTATAACAGAGAGGAATTATTTCTGTAGCCTGTGACACTGTAGTCACCCTAACATAGCAACACAGCACACTACTAGTGTGAGTTGTGACACTGTAAACTAACTGTCACACAAAAGCAGAGCCCATGTGATTATATATGGTAATGGTCGTAAACAAGTATGGGAAAGGCTTTGGGATTCACTATATTCTTTTTATTATTATTTTCTGAGAAAGGGTCTTGCCATGTGGCCCAGCCTGGCTTCAAACTCCTAATCCTCTTGCCTCAGCTTCTTGAGTGCTGGGATTACAGGCATGCCCCACATCCCGGTTATACTCTACTTTTCATTGTTACTTTGGAGTCTACTCCAAAGTAGACTCCAAATAAATAAGGCGTACTGTAAAATACATGACAGCTCATGTTTGCCCCGTCTCCTCAGTACACCAAGAAGCCAGAGCAAGTGGCTGACCTGCACTGCCCAGGCCTCTGTGAGCACTCCATGGCCCTTGCACAAGGACGGAAATGCCTACCGATGAATGCGTCTCTGAGCATGGATTCCACCATCAAGCCGTGCACGACTGTATTAACATTAGAAAAACGTCCCCTAACGTCCCCTGCCTCAACTCACCATTCCTCTAGAAATTACAAATAATGTGTGCACATGTGAGTGGATGTGGAGCTCAAAACGAGAAGAAATTGCACGGGAGAGTGGATGGTCAGTATCTTGCTATCTAGGCAACGCCCTCTAATTTGGATGCTACTTTCCTACAGACTCTCCCACACTTTCACCCTTTCATTCACGACTTGCTGGGCACCTGCCATCCGCAGCCTCTCTGGACCAATGATGATTTTGTCCTTCAAAATGTCACATCACAGGGTGGGTTGGAGGCTGAGGTCATCAAGGATCATGCAAAGACTCACAGCCACTGTGTCTACATGGCTAGGCCACATGCAGTTTGGTCAAACACTAGGTGCTGGTGGGAAGGTATCTAACATGTGTGGTTAACACCTAAGGTGGTTAAGTAAAGGAGCTCGCCCTTGATAATGTGAGTGGGCTGCACCAATCAGCTGAAGGCCTTGGAGCAAATGCTACAGACAGTAATGCTGTACAGTAAAAGACTATACTGTGGAAACCAAGTCCTGACTTCCAGGTGCTTCTCCCTCGGGCCTGCTCAGCAGAATTTGAACTTGCAAGCCTCTGAGCTGCATGAGCCCATTTCTCGGAATGAAATTTCATTACATAGACCCATACTCAGGGCTGAAGGTGTGGCTCAAGCAGTGGAACACCTGCCTAGCAAGCTCAAAGCCGAGTTCAAACCCCAAGTACTGCCAAAAGTAACAAAAGAAACATACATAGACCCATATGGCATGGGTTAGCCGGTGACCCAAAGAAGGGGGAATGGCCTGAGGCCTGGTAGAGTACATCAGTTACCAGGCTGATAAGACAAAAGCCCAGGAGAGCAGACTGTCAGGAGAGCAGGCAAGTCCAAGGAACCAAAAGAAAGGTCAAGTGTAACCAAAAACCACTAGAGGAAAGATGGCGGAGCAGGCTGGTGGTCAGGGTTGGGCCAGGCAAGGGCTGGTAGCCCCATGACAACTGGGCACATCCTGGAAGCCATGTGAATCCAAGTGGGGTTTCCTGACCAGGCCGAGGGTCAGTTGTGCTAAAGTCACAGCTGGGAGAAATGATGGAATGAGGCAAATGGATCTTGCAGGGGCTGTGAGGTGGGTAGTTTTCTCCTCCAGGTGTATCTGTGCCTTCTCTGACCTGTGCTGGGTCCAGGCTGACTGAGGGACTGTCCACATCAGTGGCTCTCATGCTCTCAGGCTTTGTGTTTGCTTTGCCACAAAGTTGTGTGTGACTGTTGGGGAGAGTAGAGTAAGCTAGTCATTGCCCCGGTCCCTTCCCTACGGGCCAGGCTCAGGCCATCAGTGTGGGCTGTTTCCAGGACAAAACAGGGGGCTTTCCCAACACCATTCAGGTTCCAGGCACATTACATCCCAGGTCCTGGGAAGGTGCTCTTCCCTCAGGCTCCCTGATGACAGTCACCTACCTCCTCCCCTGGAAATGCAGCCAGTGCCAGAGGGAGCTATAGGACAAGGTTCCTGTAGCAATAGCTGGCCAATGACTGACTTCACCTCAATCCCTAGCCCTCTCTGCTCTGATCTCATTCTCTAGTTCACTCCCTCACCCACCCTCATTCTCTAGTTCATTCAAGACTCCTGCTTGACCATCAGAAAGGATCCTCAGGGTTTTTCCTGCAGACAAAGGGTCACAGGTATCTCTAGCCAAATCTGGTGGCCAACGACTGTGTCCCTCCTTTCTGTCTCCTTGTCTGTTTGACAACCCTACTACCTCGTCTTACCGATGCTTGGTTGGCTTGACAGTGGCTTTATCAACATGGGTTTTCTGCCAACACTAGTTCAAGCCCCAGTACGCCTCTTCTCCGTAGAGGAGGAAGTCAGGTCCTGAGAAGCCAGGCCTTCCATGCCTATGCAGCTCTGAGGGAGTGGCCACTGTGACTCCGTCATCCATCTAACAGAGAGGGAGGTAGAGGCCCTTGGACTTTGGGAGCTTACTCAAGGTCAATGCCCATAAGGGATGGGACTGGTTCCCGAGCCTTCCCCTGGGCAGGCAGGGACACCTGCAGTGCTCTGATGAACACACTTGTGGCAGGCTCCTCTTCACCACTAGAGTGAAGCCTCAGGCCAGGGTTGGGCGTGTGACAGTTTATGCACATAAATCTTTTCACAAGGTCAGTGCCTCTAGGGAGGCCACACCCAGGGCTTCAATGTCTCAGAAGTGGTGAGTAACAACTAAAAGGAAGGCTCATGGAGCAGGTGGCCTTGAAGATGGGTTCTGAAGATGACAGGAATGACAAGGACAGGGGAGAGGTACAGTAAACCAGGCACCCTAAAAAAGTACACGGTGGCCACAATGAGAATTCTAGGTACTGGTGTACAAAGTGGGGTGCCCTTCAGAGTGGCTGCAGCACATGGAGCTAGATGGGGAGGTCTTTAGGAATGTGGACTTGGGGATGAAGGCAATGGGGAGCCACAGCTGGTATGGAGCCATGGACCACCATGACCACACTAACATATGGAGGCTGGAGTGCAAAGTCTATCTCCTTTGGGGCTTCAGTTTCCATGCCCTTCCTACACTCACTCTCACCCATCTCCCCCAGAGCCAAGAGGCATCTATGGGAGAACATGCCCTTGTACTTGGAAGTCTTCCTCCTGTGACCCTGGCGCCCCTTGCTTGCTTGCTTGTGTTCTCTCACTGGGGGACAAGGAAGGGGATGGGGGGGCAGACAAAGACTCCTCCCAGGAAGCACGGATGGCAGCTGAGAATGGGTAGTTCAGAGAGGAACCCGAAAGAAGCACGATTAGCCAGGCTTAAAGTCACGTGGTAGTGGTCGGATATGTTTTCATACGCTCAGCTGCACAAAAGGAATTTAAATCCACAAATCTTCTTATGTCTGTGACAAAGGGGTGCTAAATTTGGAGTCTGAAGACATCCAAGCAACATTAGAAGTGGAGAAATGTGGTTAGCAACATAAGGCGGTCCCACTGCACGTATGCCCAGAAGAAGACAAGCTGTCCCTATTCAGGTGAAGGGGAAATCATGACAAAGGCATAGCTACTCAGGGGCACAGGACACAAATTCAACAGCCATCTGCGTCTGTCAGCTGATTTTGAACCGGGAGAGGTGGGAGTCCCGGCCACTCTGGAGCTGAGGTTTGCAAAGCTGACAAGTGGCTAGACAGGTTCCTTTCTTCCCCGTCCCTTGACTTCCACGGAACTACAACAACTCCACTGACTTCAGGGCGTCAGAAGGCTCCCAAAGCAGGAGAGAACCTCCAGAGAGGTCCGGAATGGGGATTCAGCCCAGAGTGTAAACCTGGTTGCTAAAACAGAAAAGCCCAACACTCACCAGCAGGTGTCTGGCAGGAACCATCTCTGGTCACCAAGGGCTGGAGGAGTGTCACAGTGTCCAGTCGGGATAAAGCTGCCCGCCCAATTCCTGGAGAAGAAGGGCAGCCCTAGTTGTAAAGTGCCACTACTCACATCTGCAGCTGGCTGGGCCCATGCTACCTGCTGTGGGTTCCCCAAGCCTGGCACTCAGGACCTCACCCTTAGCAAGGGACTGCTGAGCCTTCCACTGGAAGGCCTGGGGCATGGGGGCTGGAGCAGATGGGCAAGGACTGGCATTGCACGGACGGGGGCTTGCAGAGCAGCTGAGGCCAGACAGCCCTGGCGAGTCCTAGGTGGGGCAAGAAATGCAAGGGAACTTTGGCAGCCGGTCGTATAGTGGAAGGCCAGTGAGTAAGTCAAGAGCGCACAGATCAGTAGTGATCAGTGAAGCATGGGAGGTATCTCAGAGCCTGGAGCAGCTGAGGGACAGGAGACCTGGAGCCATCTCCCCGGGTGCTGGTGACGCCTGAAGAAATCCATGCACATGCCTGCTGGGGAAGGCGGTACGAACACCTGTCCCCAGTGTACACCAGCTTTGCAGGGGATATGCCCCTTCCTTTTTCACAGTGGACACGTGGAGACAGTAAGGGCTAAGGTCACAGGCTCACAGCCGTGAAGTGGCTTTGCCTTGTGATGGATGCCATTGCTGGGGGATTGTGCACAGGTGATGCTCGGGAGCCCTGATGGCTCTCTACCTCTGCTGGAAGCTGACCAACACTCAGGGTCACGTCTCACCTTGTGTAATGAATGGCCATGGAGAAGTCTCCTCATCTACTATTTACCTGAGCAAAGGGACTTAGGCAGGTTCAAGGACATGCAGGTAAAACTCAAGCCTGGATTCTGTTTCCACAGCTCAAAGTGTGACCTGGACAAGTCACTTGACTTTGACCAGCCATCCCTCATCCTTGTTTGCAAAACAAGAGACAACCCCAACAACACCCTAGCAGGCTGTGAGGACAGAATACCCTCAGTGTCCAGAAAGGCATCACCCTGTCTGGCCCTTTCTCTGGCAACTTCTTTCCAATTCATTAACTGAAACTATCAATGTGCCCACTTTTCAGATGAGGAAAAGAAAGCTTAGGGAAGTATGTCACTCCCATCAAGTACTAACTGAGCTACACTCGTAAAACAGAAACTAAAAGGCAGTCCAAGCAGTCTGACTCGAGCCCGAGCTCTTCATGCTGCATATCTGCCTCTTGACCTGGGCTGGTCTTGCAGCCACGGTCCTGCATCACCCCATCTGTCCATGCAGAACGAAGGTGTTATCACCACTCAGCCCTGTTCCTTGCCAAGGGATCACAGATGCTACTCACCCTCCATCCAACCCAGAAGGCAAGTCTGGAGGAGAGAGGTGTGCTTGAGCTAATGGCTCCCTGCCATCAATGACAATGTGCTCATGGAGGTGTGGTGGGGGGACCTTCTTGTTCCAACTGTGCTCAGGCCAGCAGGTGGGCACTGACTACCCCGAGGTCCCTTCTGAGCACTGGGGGTGGGAGGACTGAACAGCTTGTCCCCTGTTGCCCATCAAAGAGCCACCCACATGGGGAGCCAGCAGCTAAGAAACATCTCGTTCTGCCCCATTTGCTTTAAAACTCTTTTATCTCCTGGAACACAGTGGTGGTTGGGACAAGGCTGGCTCCTCTTCTTGGGTCTTAGGGAGAAACTAGGGTGCTTTTGGTATGGAGGGAGCATACATGGCACTGGCCAAAACCCATCTGAAGCCCAGCTTTAAGACTCTGCCAGACCCTTGGCCCTGAGTGTCCTGACTTCTGTGTGGGTGAGGGGCACTGTGCAGTAAACGTCAGCTCTCCCCAGGTGGGCACCACAGGGCTGGCGGGAGGCACAGCTCTAAACACAGCAGCCCTCAGTTTTCTTTCACTCCAGAGAAGACACTGGCTGGGCTTTTGCAAGTGTCTATGTGTGTGTGGGTGAGCATACTCAAGTGCACTGCACTGGAGCTCGTATTAAACATTATTATTCTCAGGAAAGAAAGGACTAATCAGAAACTCAAAAAACTGAACTACTGCAGTGGATTTGCTTTCTTTTGTCAATGCAGGTAATAAGCAGGTGGCCTTCAGATTCAACTTCCACTTGTCAGGTCCCCACCACATGCCCCAGCACCAAGTCTTTCTGTGTTACAGGTGAGATGTGCAGGCTGGGATCGAGTCAGAGCCTTCAATCAGCTGTGGGCTGGAATCTGAGTCAAGAACCTTTGCGGCCTTCTGTGTGCTGAGCTGGACCCCTGCAAGTTTGGCCTAAGTTCTCAAGCTGAGACTTGATCACACTGAGCTCTTAGCTCCTGCTCTGTGCACAAAGGAGTGAGCTCCTCCCACTGCACAGAAGTCCCTTGGTTCTGACCCAGGATGCTCATGTCCTCTGCCAGCATCCTGAAACACCGACAGGCTAACTTTGTTAGTTCCTAAGGGGGACAGAATCAAACCATCGACCTCATGCCTTTCTGCTAAAGAGGTCCCGCCAGGTCTGGGGTGAAATTCAAGCTCACATCACAGCTGCAAGATTCTCCACAAAGAATCGGCGATCTCATGTCTGACTCCACCTTCTACACCTCTATTGTGTCCTTCTTGAGTGTGACTGGCCCCATGCTACCCCTCAAACATGCCCAGCTCAGGAACTGTGTCTACAGAATCTTCCCAAAATCAAGGCCACTCCTTCACAAAACTTAGGATGCTGGGTCAAACACTACCTCCTCAAAGAAACCACCCCTGAGCCATCACTTTGGTATTCCTCACCATGCTGTCATCAGCCGGTGTGTCATGAGTGCGTGCCCAGCTGAGAGGAGTTGCGTGCACAGACAGCCAAGCCCCCAAAGCTCAGGGGCTTTCTGTCAATTCCCACTGTGCTCCTAGAAAAGTGACCATGCACACTGTTGACAGTCACCTGCTAGGCAGGCACAATCCCCATTTTATAGATGAGCAAACTGAGTCTGAGAGGGCCAACAATAGTGATGTACCCATCTCACAATTGGGTTCAAGTCCAGTTTGTGCAATGCTAACGTATTTCTGGAAGACTCTCCTCCCCTGGCCTCTTGCATTCCCCCGGGTCATGCTGGGTGATTCACAAGGTTGGCTTTGGCTGCCCTACACTTGGGTGACTCCTGAGGTACAGGCACCGTGGCTACTTGCTGTTTCTGCAAAATGGTGGATCCCTAAGCTCCATGTTCCTGCCACTGTGTGTGAGCCTCTGTCCGGCCCCTCCAGGATTACTGAGTGGGACACATGAATAGGCCTGTGTTCTTGCGGTGGGGGATAAAATCAAATCCCAGGCCTCCCCTAAACCCCCCGCCCTGCAGTTTTGCTCTCCATGTAAAGTGTTTTATTATCAGTTTAGTAAAATAATTGTCCTTGCTGATCCAGCACCCTCCGTGTCAGGCTCCTCCTGGCAGGAGCACTCCTGTGTCAGAGGCAGCTTTCCTGACATCTTCTCCAGCCATTCTCTGCTCCCCAGGGATCCTGTGATGCTCACAGGGGTTGTTGAATGTAACAGACCAGAAGCAGATACTGGGGATAGCAGACAAGACAGAGAGGCGAAAGTTCCTGCATATTTACATTTTAGGGACTGTGAGATTCAGTGGGGCCAAGAACTTTCTGGCCAATGGGGTGAGGTGGAGCTGCGTGCAGGGCACATGCATGGTCTTATTTAATGCTGAACTCCTGGTACTGCCCTGACCCCACCCCACGTGGGGACTCTAACATTGGCTGGGTTGGATGGACAGATGGATAGGCTGATGCTTGCTCCCTGCAGGCAGGGTACTGGTAGATCTGCCGGCCAGCGGACTGTCCCTTGGTGAGGGAGCAGCAGGGCTGGGCTCCTGCCCCACAGGCTGGGGCTCTCGGAGCAAAGGGGCAGTGTTCCTCAGAAGCTCCCAGGACTCAGCCCAGTGGCCAGGCCGAATTGCTTCTGCTGATTGTTTTTCCAGCTGAATGAGATTCAGTTAATGGAAGACTTAGGAAAGAGCCGCTCTATGGCTCCTGGAAATGAGTTTTTGGCTCTGCGACCCCAGGACCCAGGCAAGATAGGTGAGGAGGGCCTGAAGCCTGAGGCAGGACCACCAGGCACTGCCCTTGCCAGGGCATCTCTCCGCTGGGAGCCAGAGGCCTGCAAATCAAAGGAAGCACTGTCTCCAGGCCTGGCTGCTGGCCACAGAGGAGCATGTGGGTGACATCAGCTTCCTGCTTCATGTTCTGAGGTTCAGAGAGGCATGGGAGTGGCCACAGCTGTAGGCAGGTCTGTGGTGGCACCAAGCCTAGAAGCTGGGGTCCTGAAACCCCTGACCACATGGTCAGCCCAGGAGCCTTCCAGCCTTCCAGCACAGCCAGCCCAGGAGCTGCCCACATGGTAAGAGGGAGCACAGTCCCGACAGCTACACCAGTTCAGTGGTACCCTGGCCTCTGCTCCCCTCAGGCTCCATCTGCTGGGCCTCCCTCCCTGGGGTCAGCAGCAGAGCAGCCGCCTAGCCTGACATACTTCCTGACTCTGTCTCTACAATTTCTGAATCCAGGCTCGCTCTGCTTGGAAAGAAGGGTCTGAAATACTGGAGGGCAGTGCACTAAAAACTCACTACTTTAGTTCAAAAATGTGCTTAGAGAATAGACGCAAAGCAACAATGAAACTGTTTTGAATTTGACCAAAGAGTGTGGTATGCAAGAGGATTAAGGATTAAGACAAACCACTTCTTCCTAAAGCTACGCCTTTCTTCTGCCCCATTCGTGTCTGGTCAACCCCTGCCCCTAGCCACACACAGGCACATGGAGCTGACAGATGGAGGGGATTAGAGACACGCAGTAGCCTTGTCGGTGGTAGGGTGGGAAGAAGAGCACAAAGAGAATCAAGCTTGAAGACTGACTTGGAGCACCAAGCATATTTCATGCCTCAGGACCTTTGTACACGCTGCTTCCTCCACAGGAATCTTCTTACCCCAGATTCCATGGGGCTCGCTCCCTCATTGCACCTGTGGCTCTGCCAACAGGCCGTCCTCAGAGAGGCATTTCCTGCTACCCTTAAGCAGCATCACTGTCCCTCTGACTTGGC